TGTTAGTGGTCCCATGCTTGCCTTTCACCGGTGAAAACCCTTCTCTGGAAATAACACCAGTAAGGTGAGTGACTGATCTAAAAAGTCGATCAAAAATTGGATCTTTACCTTCTTGATGGTTTTGTCCATATTGCAGCCTATGTCATAGAGAATTGCAAGACTTGTTATTCCATCGCGATCGTTTGCAAACAAGTCCAGCAGCCATTGAATTAGCGCGAGTGCATAATGAGATCTAACAAGCATTTACAAAAGTAATTACATATCAGAAGATCATATCAGAAGCATTCCACTACAGAATATTGGTGATAAAACCTACTTTTCACCTGTCTGGATGAGATTGATCATCTTAAGGACGTGGTCATGCCTACATGCCATACCTAGAAGGCCAGATTCATCCATATTCTTGAAGTGTCCTTTACCTTGGACATCATTAGCGGTCGTATGTGCCTCAGTACATTCGTCCTTGATAATCCTTTCGGTAAGCTCTTGATCAATTTGTTTTGTATGATGTTAACCACTCACGTTTTCCCAGTCAATCGGCGGACCATTTTCTAGAAATTTGGCCTTGGCATCTGCAAGTTTTGGATTGAGGAAAATTTCTGGGCGAGGCTGAACTGAACCAGGCACGGCGACGCTGGCTTTAGCATGCCTTTTATGCTGGAAATTTCCATCCAGACATACTATGACATGAGCCTCTTCGGGTCGCAGATTGCCTACCGGAGGTCCAAAACATTTAGGGCAGTTGGCTGACAGTTTTCCCAGCTCGGTGAGCTGAAGCTTTTGGTATTCCAGATCTCGTATTTGATTGATGATTGCCCTATACGCATCAACAGAAACGGTAAATGGTGCTCGCCAGTCCCGAGGCTGGCACGACTTAAGGTCAGTTTGAACGAAAAAACCTGAAAAACCATTGATTGTACTTACTTTGCCACTAGAAGTCAAAATCACAGGGTTATGGGAATTGAGCGATTCATCCAAGCCTTCACAGAAAGCTTGCGTGGGGACAGCATATCGAACCCACTGGCTGTGATGATGTACCAGTAGTCGAACCGAAAAAGCCGTTCGAGGTTTGGATGGCGATGATGCAATATAGCCCATTTGTAAGAGCCTTGTAGGATCGGAGAGATCGCAGTTTTTGCAAAACTGAACTTTGACTTGACGACGTGCTACGAGAATTGACATCTTAGCATTAGAACTGACCTCGATAACATGCCGAGGTTGCGAGGTACAACGCTTACTTGTCAAATCCACCAGGTCCACATTTCGTTTGGTCTGGCTAGCACACGTACAGGGAGGCCGTAAGTCCTTCTTACTGTTATCTTCATTCCCCCAGTTCAAGGTTTCCATCTTACAGCGGAGAAATGTGGGCAGCATGACCGCATACTGCCAGCTCCACTTATCCTTGTGAGCCAAACGATTGGCTAGATGCTGATCTCTTTGCAATTGTGCTTGGACTGGATCCAGCACTTCGGGTTTGACGTGATGCGGTAGTGGCATGAATTGATGGATATCGAAGGCCTCCTCATCATCTGCATCTGGAGGGTAGTCACCATCGTCAGGCACGTCTAAGTGGTTCATACCTTGTGGTTCGTCCATCATTCCACCACCCGCACGCTGATTCTGTTCATTGTCACCCGCTAGCATCTCCTTGATTGCGGCAACCAATGCTGCTGTCTGTTGTGCTTCAAGCCGGCAGCGTGCTTGCAACTCCTCTTGTAAGGGTGTAGCGGGTTTGGGAACCCGCACGGGTTGGCTCAGGCCTTTGATTACTCGTCGCGACGGCATGCTGCGTCAGGATTCAAAATAGTCAGCAGCGTTTTGATGAGGAATAGGAATCGGGCGTATTGAACTCATCCTTTCAGTACCCTCCTGGTACAAAAGTCACGAGGTTCAAAGTCCACGTGAAAATAGGTAATTCCCCTTGAAATGGACAAACGGACAGGCTGACATTGAATTTTCCCAATTGGGAAAATTCAATGGAATGTAGAATGGAAAGTTAGTTCCATAATGAAACTGGCGCAAATGAAAACTGTAGCTAGCTCACCATTTGCAGCGCTGAGAGGGACCCTTGAGATGCCATTGGCAATGTAGACTGGCGGACTTTGATATGAAGTTTTGATTTAGGCCCATGAAATTTCCAAATCGGGAAGTTGTTTGAAATATTGGATTGATCGGGAAGTTTTTGGGAATATGGAATCAAAAGTTAGGTTGATTGGCCATTAGGTCGATTGGCGTGTCACGCACGAAAGTTCCAATATAGCTGACCATGTCCGCTATATTGGAATCGTAGTTTGTATAGACCCCTGATGACCAAATTGGGTTCGTATTTTGTATAATAAACGCTTAATGGTGTTCTCCATAGTGGATGATCTTGGAACTTGGATACGAGATTGGTTTGCGCTGTTGCACTCAACTTTTGTAATGGATGTGCAGTGTACAGCCAGGCGGTACTAAGCTTGCAACCCTTGCAACCGGATTATGAAATGACACTTTCACATATGTGACATATGTGAAATGTGACCATCACATAGATAATCACATATATCACACCAATATAATGACATATATGAGAAAGGACAATGTTTCTCATGTTGATGTTGATAGCATGTTTCTCCACTTGACCTTGCCAGCTATGTGCAAAAAGTCTGTCATTGAACAATCCAAACAGGCCTTGGACTGGGGTGAAAAAAATTATGACCAGAAAATACCTTCTGGCGGGCGTACACATTGACCTTGTGAGAAATGTCAGATACTCACCACTTGACCTTGCCAGCTATGTGCGAGAAGTCTGACAGAGTTGTCTAAGGTGTAATAATGGTCATGCATTGTGAAGTAACCATCCAAACAGGCCTTGGACTTTGGTGAAAAAAGTTATGACCAGAAAATACATTCTGGCGGGCGTACAGATTGAACTTGTGAGAAATGTCAGATACTCACCACTTCACCTTGCCAGCTATGTGCGAGAAGTCTGACAGGGTTGTCTAAGGTGTAATAATGGTCATGGAATGTGATGGAACTATCCAAACAGGCCTTGGACTTTGGTGAAAAAAGTTATGACCAGAAAATACCTTCTGGCGGGCGTACACATTGACCTTGTGTGAAATGTCAGATACTCACCACTTGACCTTGCCAGCTATGTGCAAAAAGTCTGACAGAGTTGTCTAAGGTGTAATAATGGTCATGGAATGTGATTGAACTATCCAAACAGGCCTTGGACTTGGGCGAAAAAAGTTATGACCAGAAAATACCCTCTGGCGGGCGTACACATTGACCTTGTGTGAAATGTCAGATACTCACCACTTGACCTTGCCAGCTATGTGCAAAAAGTCTGACAGAGTTGTGAAGGTGTAATAATGCTCAGGGAATGTCATTGAACTATCCAAACAGGCCTTGGACTTGGGCGAAAAAAGTTATGACCAGAAAATACCTTCTGGTGGGCGTACAGATTGAATTTGTGTGAAATGTCAGATATTCACCACTTGACCTTGCCAGCTATGTGCGAAAAGTCTGACAGAGTTGTCTAAGGGATAATAATGCTCAGGGAATGTCATTGAACAATCCAAACAGGCCTTGGACTTGGGCAAAAAAAGTTATGACCAGAAAATACCTTCTGGCGGGCGTACACATTGAACTTGTGAGAAATGTCAGATATTCACCACTTGACCTTGCCAGCTATGTGCGACAAGTCTGACAGAGTTGTCTAAGGGGTCATAATGGTCAGGGAATGTTTATGTATGATTTTACCAGAGGGAATGGGCCTCAGCATGAAGCATAACTATGATGGAACCTTATGACACTGGTGTTGACCTCATGCGTGTTTGAACTATTCCTTGCAAAGGTGTACCACATGTGAACACGGTGTTATTACCACTTTAACATAGAGACAATTGCATGTGACAAAAAACTGACACCTTCAATAAAATAATTAAAGGAAACGTGTAGGGAGTTCATTGAGAGCATAGTATACTTTGACTAAGAACACTGATAGGTGACTAAGATAGCTAAACAACGTTTTCCAGAAGTCAGAGCTAAACAAATTTTACCAAGATCAAATATCACCATCATTGGCATGTATACTTTAACTAAGAAGGCCAATGGATAATGAAGATTGCTTAAGAACGTTAAACAACAAGTCAGGGGTCATGATGTTTGATAATGATCAGATATAGGGTTCGGGTAATGATACCTTAGGATTTGAAATGGTCCATATTGCAGTATTCAGATAAACACTTTGTGATAACGAAAATGTCAGGTGAAATCAACTAACAAACATATCAGCACCAAACTAACCAGGTCAGAAAAATTCTATGCCTTCCACTTCCTATCTTTTAGATTCAAGATGTCTTCAGAATCGCGAATTTGTCTCTCACAATTCGCCTTATGGTTGAATTGTTCATCCGTTCCAGCCTTGGCACAAGCGCAGGCCATCTTTTGCGTGATCTGAGATGAACATCCAAGTCGCGTGTAATGAACCTTTTGACCCGGTCCTTTAATGTCGTCCTTTTCCAGTGAAGGAAGAGTGTGATGAAAAGTGGTCTTGCCATTCCAAGAAATTTGAACCACAAATTTTGTGCCAAAGTTGAAAGCAACTCTATATTTGGGAAATATAAACCAGCCATTCCCAAGATCATAACCTTGACATTCAGTCACTATCTTACCGCTCTCACTATCAATAGGGTACCACACACAATACACTTTGCCCTTATCATTGTCAGTATGTGGCTTATTGTAGAAACCGCCCAATGTAAAGGCAAAGTTGGCTGCAAAGTCCAGTGGGCCCGTCGGTTGAAACTTCGAAGTAGATGTCATGGAAGGTACTTTCAATTTAATCAGCTCCTCGTGCACGATATTGAATCCTTGGTCGCAGAAACTTCGGAAACGTGCACCAACGCGAGCACCAAAGCTGGGTAAATTTTGGAGAAAACGACGGTATAGTGATTTTGACGAGCATTTGAAGGGGATATATGGCGAGATAAGAATGTCACTCAAATAGCCTACAGTTTGCCCGAAGCAGTACATTCGGCCTGCTATGAGAGCTCCGTTTGTAGTCCTTCCTTTCTTAGTCTTAACAGTTGATGGCTCATTGAGATGTATAGTACGGTCTTCAGGTAAGTCCAGAACCAAATCCTCCATATCAGTATCCTCGGAGTCCGAAGGTGGGAGTGAAGAGAGAGGTGACGAATCCAGAGAGGAGAGAGGCGATGAATTTATATCCTCAGCAGGTGTCATGTTGGAAAGAGAGTTGTTCATAACTTCATCCATTTCGGTATCCTCGGAATCAGAAGACGAGAGGGAAGATAGGGGAGAAGATCCCAAAGGTGTTTGAGGGGATAGCGATTCCTTTTCACCAGGAATTAAGCACCGGGGCGGGGTTTCATCCATTAGAGGCCGCGATACATTATTGAGGGATTCTTGATTAATCGGTGGTCGTAATATTGGTATCTTCAAAATCACCTGGCCATGGGAATTTGGGGCAGGAGCCTCAGAGGTAGTTACTTTAGGAGGAAGGGGTAATCTCCTGAAAAGCTTGGTAGCCATTAAAATCGTAGTTACATCCTTTTGGTGTGCATCACGTTGCTCAGTTGTAACACACTCAAGGTCCTCATAAGAAAAAGTGCAGATAAGTTTCTTGGATTGCCGATCAACAAATTGTCCTGATCCATGGGTGACGATTGTGTAAAGATTTGATATGATCTCCATGGTCCTTTCTAGGTTTTCAAACGGTAGAATCGGGTCGTTAAACCTGGTCAACTTTCGATCGAATGTTCTCTTTACTGAGTCAGCGGACTGATCGGCCTGCTTGGCAGCCGCAAATAGCGCAGCCTTCACAGAATTGCGCCTAAGGAAATGCTTTTTGCTCAGTTATACATCAGGCCAATTGGTTAAGGAAAAGATTGGATTGTGACTCACGTTTCTTTCGCATGCGTCTTTACCGAGCGTGGTAGAGGCTCTGGTACATTTTCGTAACCCTGCTGGCAATAGTAATCCAAAGCCCTCTGCCTGAAACATAAGTGTGTTTTTATGAGAAAGTGAAGCACGATTGAGTATTCAGTGATACAGAGACAACTGTTGCTTACACTAGTCTTCCTTTGCCTGAAATCTTATCAGGGCCGAGTACAGCGAATTGGCAAGCTGGAAGAAGCCAATTCCCAGTACTTGGGTATCCGTCCGGTGCCAGAAGCTCGTGTGGTACATGAGCATAAGATTTCGCAATCTTGAAAGGTGGGGGGAGCTACACACATGAGGATGTTAGTAAATGAGTGGTAGATGGGATCGTGATATGACACAGGTGAAAAAAAGCAGTGTGAAGAAAGAATATAACTTACGTCATTATCACTGAATCCAGTTTGGCGTTTTACATCGATCGGGATCAGGAGATCGGATAGGTATGTAACGCCAGGCAAAGATGTCAAATCACTAATGAGAGGTTTTAAGTCAGTGTGCTGTACTGTATAAATCAAGTAATGACTTTACCTCTCATTCAGAACGACTGGGAATTTTTCTCGTCTTCGTTTCTCCCATCCGGGATCAAGGTCCGATGACATGTCTAGCTTTGAAGTATAAAAACACGATCAAATGGTTAGTATCAAAATGACATATAGGCGCACCTTGGTTAGAAAGGGAAACTACTAGTCAGTGGGGGATTTGAATCAATGGCAAACTGGTTGGATTTAAGGTTATGCAGAAGCCGTCTTTCCTCCCAGTGCAGATTCAAACCCCACCCCTGTGTTATAGACTCTCATTCCGCCCAAGGTACCCTAGCCTGATATCGAGTGAAGGAAAGGTTGATGAGAACAGACGGCTTACTACTAAGCAAGCTGAAGATAGATACCAAGTAGAAAGGTAGGTCAACGAGTAAATTGTGATGAATTCGGGGATTATCAGGTAATTCGCCGTTCTTCAAATTGTGGTATCCAGCCCGAGTGGAAATTCGCTTTGAATTGGTTTAATGATATAACCTCACCTGAAAGACTGTTTGGTGGGATTCGATTAGGTGATGAAATAAACGACTTCTTGAGAACCTATTGGCATACTAAGGAGGTAGAAGATAGGGTGTCAGTTCAGCGAGAGTACGATATGGGAAGGATCACGACCATAATTTAGGCCAGTGATCAGCAAAGTTGGATAAAAAAACGTACCATCTAGCATGGCGAGATTTGATCCTGAAACGAGGGGTTTGAAGTTAGGACGAAGGATGGGGCGTGCAAACAAGCACTTCACGTGGCACATACTTAGAATTAAAATGTTATGTACTTAAATAAGCTTAAATATTAAGGTAAGGCATTGTGTACAAATATACACAAGCCCCGAGTCAACTAAAGTCGATTATGTATGTAAGGATTCGCAAAATACACAACATAGGGATATATTAAGAGGGTACTTTCTGACAACGTATGTAAAAGACCATAAAGGTTTTACACAACATAATGTGTGAAAATCAATTGTTTCTGTGGATGGGTGTGTTTGATTCCAATCACCATATCTATGATCAATCAAAAATCAATCAAAACAAGCGAGGAAAAGTGGGATCTCGCTCGCAGACGCTTACTCACTAGGAAACGGAACGGAAGAAACATTTATCTCTTGTACTGGAGCTCAGATGTCTTCTACTATCAGTAGAATCATACAAGATTCAGTCTTTATTGAGATCACTTGAGTAGGTAGAAACATATACATTGTATGAGATTTGAAGAAATCCATTCGAAATGTATGAGAGTACACAGCCTTGTTATGTGGGGATCACTCTAGCATCATATTTATTTCATCAGCTAAATCTGGGTGAGAGTCAGAGTGTACTGTGCTGGATTTGTCATTTTCTTCTTCTGCTTTGGATTTGGAATCGGAGCTTTGCGGGACGGCTATGATAGTATAATTTTCGGATTTGATATCTTCAATCCAAATGTCGACTTCATCGTTGGACAGATGGCCTGGCCCCTTGGATATCATTATATCAGTGACGCGGCTTTGGGGGGTGCAATTGAAAGTGAGCTTGATATCGCCACGGAAGGTTTTGGCTGCAAAGGCAGCCTTCAAGTTCGGGACCTTAGGATGTGCATCACCCCTGCCAAGATAACCTCCACGAAGATGTGGGGCTTTTGAGAACCCTTCCTCAGCACTGTGATGCTTTACAACAAAGACCAGATGAAGGCTTACCTATTAAATCATTAAGGGCATGCGCAAGTTCTGTGCGTCTTTGGGCTTGTCGAGCTGCACCTTGTGACAAGGGCTTGGGATCAAGGGGTTTAGGGCGCATATGCTGTGGAGCCTTCGTTGCTTCAAAAGCAAAACATTCGAGTAGGTGAGTCTTTTGTTGATCATGGGCCCATCGTGCACAAGATGAGTACTCCTCCTGAAAGAGAGCGCGGGCAGCTGATTTTCCTGGGTTCCAAGTGGCCACGAGCAGGTGGAATTGTAGATTAAAGTGGTTCTTCAATACATGGAGCTGAGGTAATAACAGAGTAAGTAAGTATGATGATTACGAAGTTGTAAATTGAAAGTTTCAGGCTTGGTAGCAATATTAAAGTGAGCTGACTTACCTGGCGTACGACTTTGCTAATTTCTAGTATCATTAGCTTCTCCATAGATCAATTTTTCGATTTGCCACTGTGCCTCCACAAGCGACCCTGGTACAAGTCGTGGGAGACCTTTGTTAAATTGACTAGACGCTTGAATACTGGTATGTATTTATTGAGTTCTTCTTGACTGAGCGGTTCTAAGGTGGAGGCGGGGGTTTTGGTAGAAGTCTCTTCTAGCGGAAGAGAGGGAGTGATCCCTAGGGGCGTTTTAGTCAGTGCATATGCCTCGCTGGTTGCTACACACAATCGCTCGAATGGACGAGGAGTGAAACATCGTGTTCTTCATCGTTGTAGTTGGACCATGTGGTGCCAACGATCGCATTACGCTCCTTAAAGCCGGTTGGGAGCCGGCTCAGTCTCGGGGGCCCCCGAGGCCCCTTTTTTTTTTTTTTTTTTTTTTTTTTTTTTTTTTTTTTTTTTC